ATAAGGCCATAAGGCCATAGGGCAATAAGGTCATAAGGACATAAGGTAATAAGGCAATAAGGCGTAAACTTTAATGTTTGTTTAATTAATTAATATCAATTAATTAAAACTAATTACATGTAAACGTTCGATTCTACTGTTCGACTCTTAGCCGAGTTTTAAATTTGTTAAGGGTTTCTGACTTTCTAAGGTCTTTACCTGTGGCTGTGGCCTTTCATTGAGTGCGTGGTCGATTTAACGTATATGTCAAAATGTAATACTGAAGATTTTACCGTGCATAAATAACTAATTAAAGTATTGAATACCCCAAAAGATTACAATTGGTCGTAAAAACATACGCTCAGTAGTAAACATTTTAGCATACCGAAAAACGCACAAAACGCACAGGCTAAAATACCCTACGTGTAGCCGTACCTTACCCCGAGGAAAAACGTTTTTCCTGGGGGGGGGGGGGTAAGGCTACGCGTAGGCTAATGCTTAAAAGCTCGCAAATAACACCAAGTCATCAGGAGCCCGCAGTCTTACCTGTTCAGCAGAAACACTACGTCAGTGTCTTGGCTTTGACAGCAGTGCTCTGTACACTTGTCCACGGTCATGTGACTTACATCAGCTGGTTCCCAAGNACGATAAGAAAGTACACAGTTATTTCATATGTCAGCGGACTTAGCGGCGCAATGGCAAGTATCTGCAGATTTGCTTACCCCCATGCAATTCGATACTTATCGCAGTTTAATTTGTATAGCGTTACAGCCCACAAAAGACGGAACATAATTTGAATTCTTTTTTAGTACAGAGTGCATTATTGGGATGGTTTGGGAAATGACGTCCGCTAAAGTAATAAATTAATAAGTTAATAAGGTAATAAGGTAATAAGGCCATAAGGCCATAAGGCAATAAGGAAATAAGGCACCAACGGTCTGAGGCAATAAGGTGTAAACTTTAATGTTTGTTTAATTAAAATTAAAATTTGTAAAACCAATTACATGTATATGTTCGATTCTACTGTTCGACTCTTAGCCGACTTTTAAATTTGTTAAGGGTTTCTGACTTTCTAAGGTCTTAAATTGTGGCTGTGGCCTTTCATCGAGTGTGTGGTCGATTTAACGTATATGTCAAAATGTGATACTGAAGATTTTACCGTGCATAAATAACTAATTAAAGTACTGAATACCCCAAAAGATGAAAACATTTTAGCATACCGAATAACGCACAAAACGCACAGGCTAAAATAACCTTCGTGTAGCCTTACCCGTCCCCCGAGGGAAAACGTTTTTCCTGGGGTGGGGGGTGGGTGGATAAGGCTACGCGTAGGCTAATGCTAAAAGTTCGCAAATAACACCAACTCATCAGGAGCCCGCAGTCTCACTTGTTCAGCAGAAACACTACGTCAGTATCTTGGCTTTGACAGCAGTGCTCTGTACACTTGTCCACGGTCATGTGACTTACATCAGCTGGTTCCCAAGGCATGTAATTCCCAGCGTCCAGACCATCTTTGAGCACAACATTGTGGTATGTTGTTTTCTTGACACAATACGAAATATCGTTTGCGCGGGTTACTGGAACTGAAACAACATCAACGAAATATAAAGTAGCTGCAGGGTGACCAGAGTACAGTCGAACTCCTATTAAGCGGCCATCCCCGGGAAATGGGAGGCTAACAGGGGTTCGTGTGCTTTGAACATTTTTCACCATTGGGTTAACGTGTAATCACGTCAAGACAATCATAATAAACATGTGTTTCAATGTTTTTATCAGTCATCAAATTCTATTTCGGACTCTTATCTTTCATCGCCTTTTCTAAAACAAGGCCAATCTAAGTGTGTTAAATTTTGTGTGGCCGCTTAACAGGGATATTAAAAGACAATAGCAAAACCCCATCAGGACGACCAAAAGGTGGCAACGGCCGTTTAGTAGAGGTACCACCAAACCTCCCGCTGTGGACCTTTTGAGACTGAACACTCTAAGAGGCACTAAAACTGCTTTTTTAACCCCTAAAAGATTCAATGAGAACCCCCGTTCTTTTAATATGGGAGTCCCCCCGGGCGAAAATCGCTTCGAGTTAGCGGGAGGTTCGAGTTTTCGAGAGTTGGGGTTACCGAGGGTAAAATTACAAGGAAGGTATGCAGAAATGCAGGGAAAATCGATTTTGGTTCGAGTTAGCGCGA